CAAAACAAAAAGAAGCTGCTTCAACTAAAGCCTGGAAGGAAATGCAATCTGTATAATTTAGTAGGCCTATCACTTACTTCCCCATCATTATGCAAAGAGAGTACAATTGTGCAGTTTATTACGTGATTGTGTTATGAGACATAAATATGTCATGCTACTCTTTCAGCTGCTCCCCAGGCTTTGCTCTTGGGAGCACATAAAGGTTAAAGACAGAAACATATGAGGGAGTTCAGAGTTCAGCGAACAGACTCAGAACCTTACCAGAGATCTTTTTTTTTTCCTTTAAAGATTATAATGTCAAGCATGTTCACACAGCTTCCAGCCTGGCTACTTTCAGATCACGCTGTAAGAGTCCCTTTCTGACGATGTCAACAAACCATTTGAATTTGGAAGATCATCGCTGGTGGTGAGAACAGAGTCGCTGCCAACGGTCTCAATCCAGGAGTCACGTTTTCCAGGGACGGTGCAGACTAGAAAGGAAAGCTGGGAGACAGAGCGGTAGTGACATGCAGGAAATGGCCAAGAGTGGACTTTTTATACCATAACTAAACATGGCACTTTTCTTATTACACTCACTCCCTACTGCATTAACAGTTTAGCCTGTATTATGTTTAACCTCTCTTTAATTGTCTGGTATTATGATTGTAAAATATGCCGCTCTGCTTCCTGTCCATGTTGGTGATCGGTCTTATGTTCCAAAATCCGCTCACAGCTAGACTGGGAATCCGTGGATAACAATGTTTGTGTGACTTCTAAGCCTGATTACAGAGGTCGGGTTTAGTGAACCCAGATAATGAAAAGACATCCCGGGAGTGGAAAACTAGCTTAATAATACAGGCCTCAGGTCTGCAGCTCCCCTATGTTGAGTCGTGCACTGGTATAAATACAGCTGTGGGTAATGCTATATTCTGTTGTTGTTACTGAGTCTCCATAATGTTACTGCTGTTAAAAATCCTTGGACTTGAACATGTGACAAGAAGGCAGTGGTGATTAGATGTGAAATTTTGGGGAAATATTGGCTAAGTCTTTGGTGTGAAGACGGTAACAATGAGACTGATATTATTATTATTATTAATATTCTCAAAGAAGAGACAAAAGCTACTGACTACTTTCATTTATCTTACTTTTCTTTCCTTTTTTTTTTGGTAATGTTGTTTGAAGTTGTGTGCTGTTACATTTTTATCAGCAGAGGGAGCCACTAGCTCATTTAACTCAGTTGTGACAAAGATTTGATTGTGATTAACCTTCAGTTTTCTTTATGTGGTGTTCTGTTTCTTTTTGTTACACTGTTGCCCAAGTCTGCCAAAACCTGAATTTTAAATCTGAATTGGTACAATAATATTAATTTGTAGAATTACAGGTAATTCCTCACAGTAGCTTTCTATGCCGGTTGTTCACTTTACATGAGGTTGTGTCAGGGGTCCATCTGTGCTTCCTGTATATGAGTGATACCAAAGACTGTTAGATGCACAAAGAAATAATCAGCACGTACGTCTTTTTTTTTTTTCTTACACAGGGATTTGTATTACAAAATTAAAATGGTAATTGTTATTTTTAGCATCAGATAGGTTAGCTGCACACTTTTTTCTTTTTTTTTTAAGAAACAGTACAAACGCAAATTCAGTTAGTAGTTTGAAACTTGAACAGTAATTTCAAAGGCTGTTTTATTTAATCTGATGCTCACAGAGGGAGCAACCACAGGTCTGCTGTCCTGATCAAGGAATTTAGATAGAGCACAGGCCTGTTAGCAGGGATCAGAAACTGTCACCGCTCAAGGTCACAGCATGAGCCTGTTGATATTTGACACTCCTATTATTGGCAAATTCAACAACATGACTCGAACCAATGAGGGATGGATCCATATGACACATGTTTTGTGGGAATGTTGCTCTTGTGCTTGTAACCTTTCCTGTTTCCCCCCCAAAACTTTAAAGAACATCAGTGACACACTGCTCCTCCTCACCAGAGCACTAGATGAATATTTAATAACATAAAAAAAACTTCTATCTTGTTTCTCTTGTAAGATTTAATGCAAACCAAAGGTCCCAGTTGTTTTGTTTGTTGTTTCTTTATTAAATGGATTTTATATATATATATATATATATATATATAATGAAATGGGTGAAATATTTTCTGTACTTTTCAAGGGATTTATTGAGTTTATTGACATTACAGAATAAAAACATACAACTTGCACTCAGTGCAGAGCTGCTTGCATACTTTAACCATTTAGAATGTGAAACCCTAACTTTTGTAAAGTTTGCCATGTGATGTTCCCTCTTCTGCATATTGCACATATAGTTATTTCTGATGGCTTTATGTAATGTGCACATATGTGGGCAGCTGTGGCTCAGGAAGTAGATCAAGTTGTACACTGAGTTAAATTCAGGCCACTGGTATGACAGTTTTTTTTGTTTTTTTTTTTTAATGCAGATGTCATATCCAGGTGTTTAAATGCTACATGTATGCTCTATCTGTATTGCACTTGCATCAAGGATTGATGTTTAAAGTTACTGTTTTTAGAAGTGTAAAATAAATCTGTACTATGCAAATTGTGTCTGACATGTCAAAATATTTCTGTAGTTATGAGATTTTGACAAAATAAAAAATGTTGGGAAGCCTGATTCGTCTCTTTGTGTAGTGATTCTGAGGAGGATTAAAACTCCTTATGTCAGCTGGCATTGGGAAAAACAACCGAGACACCTTTGGGAAAAATTAATTTATATTCCTTTATATTTTTTTTTCTCCATCGCAGTCACATTACAATGTAATAAAATGATAAACATATAAAATCAAACTCAATACTGACACATATACATTTGTTCTGTGTTCAAAACCAAACGAACTGTACATGTTTTCATTTATATTTCTCTCACATCATTTAAAATCTGTCATTATTTCTATGTAGTCATCTGTATTATTGTAAATCTTTGTCTCTTCACAGATAAATAGACTTTATTTTCAGGAGGTATTGTAACAAAAATAACACATTTCCTAATGGTGGCTGCCTAGAATCACCGAAAATATCATTCAACTCTTAACCGTAATGCTTAGGTACTATCGTAGACACGCAATACACAGACAAACTGAAGGTACACGATGGGTCTTCTCGTTTCCCTCCCATTTGTATTTGTTGTGAATTAGGGAAACCCCCTGAATGGTATCTCTCATGAGCTGATGTGGGAGCGATTTGAATTTCTGTAGTGAAGTTAGGAGATGTTAGCCAGACAGCCCGACTCGCATATAAAATGTAATACACGCCCATGTTTTGGCTTTTTTGTGATTGCACTGCACTCAGCTAGTTGATTATATGTGGAGTTTAAAATGTCCTCCTTATCAAATATATACATTTTTATCACAATCACCTGGACTACAGGAAAAGGGAAATGGCTAGTTAGCTTTTTTTGTTCTTGTACGAGATACTGTATTTTTAGTCAGAACCAAACTAGTGAGCTAATATTTGGAATTGGGGTGAATTGAGAAATTGAACATTTTTTTAATGAAGGTAAAAACTAATGACTGACTTGGAAAATATGGACAATTATAAAAAGATGCTGCTGTCATGTCTAATGATATGTATGCTAAATATACGACTAAAAGATAAATCCTAAATGTGACTAGAAGTCACAAACTCTCTAGATAAGGTTTGTACAGAGATTAGATGTGGGAGAAGTTTTCTTTTATAATAAATGAATACTTTCGATTTAATATTTTATATCTTTTATGTTATTTATTCGAAACAAAACCAGTTGTGCGAAAAACTTTTTCGTTAGCGTTAGCTTTTTGGCCAGAACAAGCTAGCTAGCTAATTAGCCATTTCCTTGTACTTAAACTTTAAACTGAAGCAAAATAATTACCCAATGGATTTTTTTTAATTTGACATTTTTGTAGTAATATATAAGCAAAGATAACTTGAATTGATGAAGTGATAAATGTGCAAGATTGAACTCAGAAATCAAGATTAAGGTTAAAAAAAAAATAGTTGTCAGAATGTTATGTTAACTTTTTTTTATTTTTACATTTACCATTATTTTGTCTTGTTAATTTTTTCCACATAAACATGAAAGTCTTCTCTCTGAATTTTCTGTGAGTAAAATCATAATGTATAACAAATTATTTTGTTATCCATTATGATAAACATTTCTTGTGAAGGTTTCTTTTGAAAGAAATTATTGCTTAATAATTATTTTTATTTTAAAGTAAAAAAGGAGCACAGTTGTCTGGCAAATCACCTCCAAAAACTTCATCCCACCCACAGAGCTAATATCAGTGTGCTTATACTCAAGACAACACAATGGCACAGTTTCCTATGAAAACACAGCTTCCAGTCGGGCTAAATTTTTCTTCTCTCGTTTTACATTCTGGATATTTAGAAAGAACATTTACTATCGGTACATTTCAAAGAGCCATCTAAGCAAACCCATGGAACATAGATCCAACTGAGAAGGATTACCAGAAAAAGGTATTTACAATCAAAATGCCACCCACAAGAAAATAAAAGTTACTTTTGCACATCGAAGTCGCTAGAGCTACTCCCCCCCCCCCAAGCTGAAGAACATGGTAGAAAAGCATGACCCTAACAAAATAAAAGCTCAAGGTACGTCTAACAGGTGCTTCCAAGTTAAGGTTTAGTTTGACCCTGCCCTGTGCTTATAGTATCCAAACCTGAGTCAAACCACTGAAATCCTTTTTGTTCATTTTCTGTGCCAAAACTACCAAACCTCTTCGGTTCCTCAAGGAAAGGATTTGAATTGTCATCGGACTCAGATCTGGTAAAAACTGGTCTGAGATCAGAAACAACTTAACATCTGGCCTCAATAAAACCATACTTTCACAGCTCTAGACCAAGCACGCAAAATAATATATGAAGCATTCATGACACGGTATGGTAGCTTGTGCTCAGACACACACACACAGACAGCCTTACCGCAGGCCTCATATGCTTTGTAGACCCTGATAGTGGAACATTTATGTATTTTATCCAAAGGAAAAACAACTCCTTGGTTTTCATTTCATTTTCACAGCAAGATACACATTCCTCAGTCGGGAGGTAGCATTCATCCCAGTTATTCCCAAGGTACAGTTTTCCCCTCCCGACCAATTTTAAACCATCAGAAGTCAATCCTGATAGAGAACAATGTAAAGTCCATAAAAATAATCACCAAATTATTTAAGAAAAATGCAAAAAGCTTAAAATCTGTAAACAAATGGTACATCGCATATTTGCAATTCTGCACATCAACACTGTATGGTTTATTCCTTCCTCCTAAGAGAAAAAAAAGCCTAAAACATATATATAAAAACAAGCAACGCGTGAGAACAGTGATGTGGTATTTCTGTAAAGGTTATCTAAGGCCAGAACCTTCTTGCTCGTAACCTTGCATAGCTGTGGATGTGAAGCCATACAACAGTGACATAACACCGACTGGGTTTAAATTCTCTTACAGTGTGGGCATGAATAAGGCTCTGGTTTTCTCGATGAAGGAAGAAACTTATCACTCAGAGCGTGCAGGCTCAGTCATAGGCCCAGTGTGGATGATTTTTGACTGCTGGGTGACACAACCGAGACTGATGTATGATACCTGGACTTTGATCATGAGGCTATTGCTGAGTCTGAACGCTCCTTATGAGTAGTTCCATATAAAGAGAGAGAATTGTATTATTTGGTTGCTTCTAACCTGATTTGGCTATAATAAACCTGATTTCTCATTGGCTGGAGCTCTGGGTGCAAAGAGCTGTGGATTGGATCAAAAAATAAATAAATAAATAAATCAGCGGTCAATGCTGTGGGAAAAAAAACAAGCGGGGCAGCTGCTCTTTGTTCAGAAACATATAAGCTGTGACTCTTGGCCATTTATATTTACTCTCAAATCCAGATCGCTCATGCAAGATTATTTGTTGTTCTGTGAAACGAGCAGGAGATGCCTGACTGCGCTCTCTAAATGGCACATGACGCTGTTTTCCTTTGATTTCTGCGTGTTGACGCTATTCTTCATGTACAGTGCATGTCCAGATCAGAGTGTACCAGAAAAGTAGCACCACCCTCCTATGACTCATATCTTAAAAAAAACCACACACACACAGAAAAAAAGAAAGAAAAAAAGAAACCACCTCCACTTCAGTCGAGCAGATAAGGCATTGTTGCTTTGATGTGTTTCACAGAGACGGAAAGTGTTGCTGTTTTTACATACGCTGTCAACATGAAGGAATTAGACTGTTTCATCGATCTGAATGTTTGATACACATATTTGGCTAATTCTTCACCGTAACCACAACTATACAAAACCCATCTAGCTTTACTCAATAGCACCATATGAATATTGTTCCCAAATTATAAAGGGGTAAGGGAATACTGGACATTGGTGTGTGAGTGTGTTTGTGTGTGTTCAAGTGGTGAGGTAGGGATACATCCCATGTTATTACACTGCTTTTCATTGTGTGTCTCTCCCTGCTTCAGAGGAAAACTGTGTGTGTTTGTGTGTGTGTGTGTGTACACTAAGCACATCTCCCCCATGTTGGAGACTTGCATAGCTTCTGCAGGACAGGAAGAGCAGTTGTCCGTTTGGACGGAGCCTTTGGCACAGCCTTGGCTGATAACTGAAGGCAGTACTCAAGTTGCACCATAGAATTCAAAGAGACAATCTGCCCTTATTGCACCATAAGTACATGTGTGTTTTGTATTTGCACCATATGAAGTGGGATTAGCAGCCAGTTGACTCTGAAGCTCGAGAGTGTTGCACCATATGAACACTGATGCTGCTGCTTCTGTTACGCGTTCGCAACTAATGTTTCTACTCGCCGGATCGCAGCAAATGGACTGATTTGTCTGTTTTGTTAGTCGGCTAGCACCACAGAAAAATAATGTGAGCCCACCTATCGTTCACACTTAAAGGGACGCTGTATTTCTGCTTTTAGTCTCCTTATTTAAATAAAAAAAATTCCACACTGGGGTAATTATTACAGTTTTATCTACTGATTAACTTTATCAGTCATTAATGGTGTTCTTAACATCCGCCAGTTCATCGGTGAACCACTTTGGTGGTAGGGTTGCTGTTAGGGTTGCATTTCACCAAACAGGTGAAAGCTCTAAATGGTAGATGTGACCCTAACCCTTAAACAAGCCTTAGGGTTAAAGCTGGCAATGTTTCCCAAGGTAAGGATCAGGACTATCATTATCGCTAAGTTTTGGTTTTTTGTTGCTCCAACTTTGTCATTTTTCTCTGAACTTTCATACACAGAATTTGTAGGAACAGCCAAGGACAGAGGATATTGGGTCTTGAAATTGCGTCTTGGTTGTTTGTGTACGATGCTGACTTTTTTGCTTTCTAGACACTAAGTGGTTCACAGCTAATAAGCAGCGGGGTTGATAGTTAGCACCTGTAAGTCTGAAGTGATGTTTCTGAGCCAGAAGAAGGTGGATTGCCCACTTCGCTATGGGGACAGGCTGTTTTCTCAAATAGAGGAGTTAAAGTGTCTTGGGGTCTTGCTCATGAATGGGGAAAAATGGATTGGGAGGCTGACCAGAGATTGGTTTGTAGTGATCCGTAACTATTTGGCCACAAACTGTGAGTAGTGACTGAAGGAATAAAACGGTGGATACAAGTACCAGAAAGAAGACTCAAAAGACTGTCTGAACTCATCCTTAGAGATAAGGTAAGGACTCAGAGTAGAGATGTTTCTTCTCAGCATATAAAGACACCAAGTGATGTGTTTCGGGCATCTGACTAATATGCATCCTGGAAGTTTCTTAGGTGAGACTACTGAGGAGAGACCTTGGGTAGACCCAGGACAAACTAAAGATATTGTCTCTTGGCTGTTTTGGGAATGCCTTGGTATCTTCAGAGTCAGTGGCCATGGAAAGGGAGCTCTGGTCATATCCGTCAAGCTTTTCTACAACCAAATTTTAATGTAATACCTTAAAATTGCAGGTTTTACCAATAATTCAAAATATTCTCATACTTCTGGGTCACTGGTTGAAATCAATCACAGAATTATAATTTGAGGTGAATTAATTAATAAATTACGTATATTTGCAAGTCGCCCTCAGAAAGACTTTGACTTTTACCAAAATTACAAAATTTGTTGACGTACCTCAATTTTAACTCTCTCTATACCCAGCCCTCATAGCAAAGGCGGTTGTAGAAAGCAGGAGAAACTGGGCTCATGGAACGGGATCGGAGGAAACACCCCCCCCCAACGATGTGAGGTTTCAGGAGTTGCACCGTTCCCGTTGACATGCTGATGACTAATATCTCAGCTCATGTGTTTTCGCCTGCCAATGTAACAGCTTGGATTACAGGGGTAAACAAACCAAAAGAAATAAATAATGAGCCATACACCACAGCTCAGCCGTGGGTGGCTTTGGAGGAGTTGATATTGGACACGAAACAGGAGAAGACAAGTCACTGGGAGGGTTGTGATGACTGAAGTCCAAAACTGTTTTATGTCAGCTTCAGTGGCAGCACCCTGTTAGTGTGGGACCAACATGATTAAGCTATCACACACAAAAAAATGTATTAGACCTCGATCAAAAACAATTACTCTTGAATCTACCCTTATTTTTATGATATAAAAAGACCTCCCACAACTGCTTGGAGCATAAAAGGAAATGATGGAGAACTTCCCCTAAGATGGCATTCAAATTTCACACTTTATTTCCCTCCCAGATGAGCAATATGGTTATGACCAACATCGTCTAGGACTTTACTTATGCTATTTTGTAGTATATGTATGTAGAGTCTATGACATAGCCTAGGCAAGCAGACATTGCCAGGCTTTTTTAACAGTTGTTGGGAGCTGCACTGACGCCACATGCAGTTACATACTGAGGGAGGTGCATGCATGAATATAGCGTAGGGCTTCAAATGAGTTTGCAGTCATGATGTACCTACGGCACAGATTTAAGGCAGAAACATTTCTTATGAATCTTGTTCCATTAACATGGAAGTCAATTCTTTAAGCGTCTTCAGTTTGTTTCAGAATTTTCAAATAGTTGGGAGCTTTAATGCATGGCTTATATATTCATGAAATCTGAAACCGCATCTAACGAAAGCTAGCTAGTCCTGTGTAATTGTTGTAGTTTGGTTTAAAACGGTTAAAGACACTGAAATCACCATTTTTTTTTTACATTGTTACTTTTCCAAATGTTCAGCAAGAAATTATTTTAGTGCTTTTGTAATATGCTTTAAGAAGCGACTGTTTTTCATTTTTCCACGTTACAGCTAACATGTTGCTAACTGCCCTCAACATACTTTTTTCAAGTCTATCTTAAGGATATAGTTGGGCTTGCTTTGTTCTATGCTCAATTGGCCTTTGAGTTACATGAGGAAAGTTGTACTAGTTCTTTAACTCTCCATTAAATATGAGTTCCTGCCAGCAGACTGCCTAGGTTAGCATAACAACCAAAAACAGGTAGAAACCTTTAGCTTTCAAGATCTCGAGTCAGATTTTGTGGCAGGATTTGCTGAGTTGTTGACATCGTGTAGGCAGAAACGAGCATAAAAAAGTAACTATTTTGTTGATAGAAATAACATTTGCTACAAATTCATATACATGCTTTTATTTATTTAGATAAGTATGGATTTATAACATAGCATCTACCATTGCGCTACACAAAGTAAACCAGATTAGCGGGAAAACTTACTCCCCTGATTACCCTGATAGGTCAGGTATCAACTAACACATTTCTTTTAAAAGCCCTGATCAATAAGAATTATTATTTTTATAGTATGAATTTGTTTCCATATTTTGAATCACAAGCACATGAACTCCAAAATTTGAAGAGTTACTCTTTTACTGTCTTAGGAGCAAGTAAATGTGCAATTATTCTTAATGGTAGATGGTTTGGCTACTTTCTGAACCCACAAAAAACTATTTTTTACATTTATCTTTTTGTATAATTTAAATAAGACAAGATGCTAGCTACTAGATACTTTAGAAGAAGAAATCCAGGCTAGCTGTTTTTACCTGTTTTCAGTTTTTTAAGCTAAGCTAAGCTAATCAACTCTCTAGTGCTAATGTTTTACTTGTTGCCTTTGACAAGACAACAAGTAAATCTACTAAACTAAAACTGTCCTTTTGAGAAACTGTAGCTAAAATTTTAGATTCTTTAAAATTGAGGCTGCAAATGTAAAAATTGTTGTTTGAGTGTGCATTGGATGCCATTACTGCCACTTTGTCTCCATCTTTTCCATCATGCTCGGCCACTCTCCCTGTTAACCTTGTCAGTGATGTCGAGAAACTGATGTGTCCAACAACAACATAGCAACAGATTAAAAAACATCCTCTCTGTACATGGAAAATATATACACTATCTTTTGACCAGACTAATAACGACATGTTACAACTCATTTTATTAAAAGTGACCGTCATTGTGTCACATCCTTTTATTCTTCTTTAACCTGTGAACGCGTGCAACATAAATGGCTTGCGGTGGTCAAGGACTCCATCGTAAAACTACGCTTATTTTTCATATTTTTTCTTTTTTTTTTTCTTTGCAGCGGAGCGCGCACATGTGAAATTAAAGAAATGAGACCAAGTGAGGGACGATTAAAGTTAAATAGAGTGACAAAAGGTTTAAGAGAGGAGGAGACGGACTCGCGCCGAAGCAGCTTGTTGAGTCATGGCCATGGGACTCACAGGTCGCAGGTGCCCGCAAGGAATGTAAGTGTGATCGCGTGTGTGCGCACACATATAAGTGTGACAGATTGCTTCTGTGTGTGTATGTGCTTATATCAAGTGTGACTTTCTGTGCATGAATGTGTTTCTAAATCTTCTCTAAATCTGAACATCCACATATACATACATGTTTTTTTATGGTGCACATGTGCTTTTGTGTACTTGTCTGTATATGTGTGTGTGTGTGCTGATTTGTGTGTTCGTCAGAGTGAGGACTCATACTGCAACAGTTCATACAGGAGGGGTCCATCACGATAGCGGATGCCCACAGCGGCTGGCGTTATGTACTGCAGGATGTTTATAGTCCTCCGCAGGCGCCTGTCTACATAGTGGGCATCCCATGCTGGGTAACGCTTCCTGGGCATGTCGATCTTTATAAGCGGGCCCTCGGGCTTGGAAGTGGGGGGCGCAGACCTCACCTGGAAGACGGGAAGACACGTCTCGGCCACGTCCTCTTCCGTCTGTGACTTGGCCATGTGGGCTGGTGTGGGAGGGGCTGTGGGTGGGGCTGACGGGGGGAGAGGGAGACCCCAGAGCAGCTGGGCACAGCAGGATGAGGCGGGACTTGGCTGGAGGTGGGCAGTGGCAGGATGGAGGAAACCGTAGTACAGCAGCATGACCAGGACGCCCCCTGCGAATGTCAGGTAGACGCTGCACAGTGCCAGGACGGCATAGGAGTCGGTCAGCACTGGATCTCTGTAGGCATACCTACAGGATGACAGGTGACAGTACAGGGGTTAAATTAATAGGTGTACATCTACACGTGTTTATAGCAGTAAACCATCTTTCCCACTGGTCCACCAAAGCTGATTATAATTGTTTTATCTACTGATGGGTAGCCCAGTGTGTATTTTAAAACATGGTTTATTGGTGGAGTTGTACTTAATATTAATAATCTAAATCGGCAAAATAATTTCTAATCATCGTTTTAAAATAAATGTAGAGTCGTACACTGAGTAACCCTTCTTTTAGACAAGCCCCTGCATGCTGCAGGTGGCACTGCTAGAGGGAGAGGAGGAGGGCACCAAACTTTAAAGCGATCTGCCAAATTAAGCTAGCAGTTTGTTTGCATACACGCAGCTTTTTGCTTTAGCATATTAAAACAACTGCGCAACCATGTAAAGCATGCTGGTGGTGGATGAGAGCACATGAAAAGATGGATGAATTTCAATAAAGCCATGACTGTGATGACTCTGGCTGCCAGAAACACTGTCATCAACTGGCAAAACAATTTTTCGTTGTACTACTTACTGGCCCTGGGCCATGTGGCCATCTGTTATGTTGCAAGTAGTATGGCAGTAAACTCATCAAGAAAGCATTTACTAGCCTTTTATTACATGAATATTGTGATATAGGCTTACCTTGCTAGTGTTGTAAATAGGCTAAGCCTTGGTAAGCACTTATGGTATACTTTAAATGTGTCTGTTTACTTGTTCATTTCAGAATAAATTTGAAGTCTGAGCAGGATACAATACAGATTAAATACTCAGCAGAATGAGAACAAGTAACCTTCAAAATAAAACAGGAAGTAAAGAATGAAAGGAAAGCCCGAGAGAACACAGGCAGCATAGAAAAGATAAAAAACTCCAAAATTACAAAGGAAGGAGAAAAAAAAGAATTTATAAGAGAATTAGAAAGAGATCATTACACAGATCATTGGCATTTAGCTTTGTGAAGCTGAGAAGCTGCAGGACACTGCGTGCCTTTACAGTAGCTCCTTGTGAAGTAAGAGGTACGCCTCCCTTTTATAGTTTTTGGATATTCTTGCATACATTCTGTGATATTTATGTGAAAAAACACATTTTATGACTTTACGCTTGTTGCATCAGGGATGTCAAAGAATGCAAACGGCGCTAAACTCACCACAGGCCGGTCAGGATGCTGTTCTCGGCCAGCACCACGGTGTAGTACGCCACCATCCTGTATCGCGTCCGACCCTCTTTCACGTTGAACCAGCAGAAGATGTAGACAATGCCGACCACCATGTTGAAGAGCACCTCCTCCCACTTGGACATGCAGAAATCAGTGCCTCCGTGCACCACCCAGAAAGCCATGGCGCACCAGTGGAGCACCACGAAGATGCCGAAGTAGATGTGGAAGAGGGAGGCAAAGAGGGCGAGCGAGAGGACACGGGAGAAGATGGTGAAGAGGCGCCAGAAGAGGTGCAGCAGCGCCCCGCGGTAACTCATGCTGCGCTGGTCGTCACGAGAGTCTCTGAGCAGTTTGTGGTAGGAGGCCAGAACCCAGGCGAGAGACAGGAGGGAGGCTAGGGAGGAGATGCCTGCAGGGAGACACAGAGGTGGATGATTTCCATGCTTCTCCTGTTTTGTATAAACACGACATTATAATGACTCACTAGGGAGGGAGCGGGGGGAGGGTTGTTTTGTGTAATGGTGTGAGCATACAATAAGTAAGAGGTAGTGCGTGTCACGACCGAGACATTTGGTAATGACGAGTCTCTAATACAAAGTTATTTTTAATGTCCCAGCTGCCGTGTGTAACCGCCCCCTTGTGTACTCGTCACATCTTTCCATTAAGGTAAACTGTGTCCCAAAACTCCAGAGTGAGCGCGATGAATAACACCAGTGGGTGGCCGCCCAAGATGATGCATGCAACACGGAAGAGGAGGATGATGGAGTCTGACTCGCACATCGCTTTCTATCTTTGACAACCTGAACAACAGTAAAAACCTGCGAAATCCAGCAGCCATCTGCAGCTACACATAATCAAGCACAATAGTCGCAAATTGATAATTAGCACTTGAGCAGCTGCTCATTTGCATGCTGTTTGCCGGCTACGCGAAAACATGCTATTACGCCGGTACAGCGCAGTCTGTAAATCCATCCAACCACCTACACTGTAGCGTCTCGGCTCGGTTCTCCTGGATCATGATGCAGAGCTGCAGGACCAACTGAGGCGCCGACTCCAGAAACGTTTCCAGCAAACGCAACATGTTGACGTCAGCGTACTCGAACATCATGGCCCAGTACCAGCGCCGCTGGTGCTCCTTCTGCCGACGCGACATGACGCCTAGGTACAGCGTCCTGATGTACCTGTAGGGGTTCAGAGGGGCAAACACGCATATGTCAGGCGTTTCTCCACACTTTCAATCGGGGAAGTCAAACTCATCTCACGTCGTGGGCCATGTACGGCCTGCTTTGATCTTAAGTGTGCCAGACTCACTTAAGATCAAAGTGTAAAGCAGTTTATCTGCACATTAAATCTCTTCGATATCACAATGTAATAAAAAAGAAGTGTAAATTCAACAGTACATGTTAGCTTTTCTACATCATAAAGAAATTACTCTTTAGGCTTAAAATGTAAGAAATAAATGTGTAAAAATTACAGTAAAAGTTCTGGATTGTCCTGTACGATTGAAGCAGAAATGTGTTCACAGAGACCAGCTCTTTTGACATAGATATTTTCTGTAAATCACAGAAAATATCTTTTTTAATTAATTAATTATATTTTACTGAAGACAAACTGAAAAAAACTTAAATTTCTATAGCAGATCATGAAAAAATCTATTACTTCATTACTTTGATGTAGTATGGATAGCGAACAAGATGTCAAATTTATTAAAATATAGATAAATTCAAAATTTACGCCCTCCTTCAGACTCCTCCAAAGATGTCCAGTGGGTCGGGTTGGAGCCTGCGCTGGGCCACTTCTGGCCCTCAGGCCTTATTTTTAAACACACCTCCTTTAGATGAAAAAAATATAAATAAAAAATCTGTATGCTGTCACTGATAGCAGATCTCCCTAATATGGTCATCTAAGGCACACGAGGAGCTTCCCGCCTGCTGCAGAGGGCCGGCCAATTAGAAAAAGCTGGTTTAAAGGGAGCCAAAAGAGCTGGTCTCAGACGGCAGTCAAACTCGTGGACTTCATGGTCCCGTATCAGACAGATTTGAACTCTACCAGAGTCCAGGAATAAGAATAAGGAGCTGGAAATGAGCCTAATAGGTCACATCTTCCCTTGCGTTCTTTCGCCTAATCGGGCAACTAAATCAAAACCAACACTCTGACTTATTCCTGTTTCACCTGATTGGTGGCTGTAAATATTTCTAGCCTTCATTACTTCATTACACTGAATTTAACCTTTCTATAAACAGCCTTGGAGAGATGCTGATCTATACGTGCTGGATGTGGGAAACCACAGCACATGTGGGCGGGATGTAGGCAGTGATCTCAATTAAACTGCCTCACTGAGCATGTGTGTGTGTGTGTGTGTGTGTGTGTGAGGAGTATGCACACAAATGTAAACATGCTGTAAAAATAAAATCCTTCAGCTTGCATGGCTGCAGTGCATGCATGGGTGTCCTCCATGCAGACGTGCACTTCTACATTATGTACAGTACGCTGGAGGTTAATTCACGCCCCATAAATAATGCAGCGTCCCTGGAAGAAAACGCCCACATGTGCATCGATTTACAGCACGCCGGCCCTCCCAAACGAACCATTTCGAGATGTTTTGGTTTTAAAATAAGGCCAGAAGGATGTGTGTCCTTGACTCAAGAGCAGTGAAGGATAAATAATCAGTATCATTTGTTTGGCTTCTGTAAACAGGGGCTCTGGTCTGCAGTGGTCACGGTTAGTGTTGAGTGTAGCAGGCGAGCTCCTTAATGCCCTGACATGGAAGGAGGTGGTCTCAAACCAAGTACAGCTGATCTTCCATCCAGCCCACCCTGCCCCCACCACTCTCATTTCTCCTTCCTCTCCCCTCCCCCTTCTTTTTCACTCCACTTGTGCACATCCTCACCCCCCATCTCTCCCTCTCCACAGCCTTTCCATCTCTCAATTTCAATCAGGCCGTGCAATTTCCCCAGCTATAACCACCCTTTCTCGCCCTCTTCTCCCCCACCCTCTCTCTCTGCTCCTTCCCATCCGGCCCTTCCTCCAGGTGGGAGAGTCCATTCTGCGGGCCAAGAGGGGACAACTACTGGGAAGTGTGTATGGGTGTGAGAGGGGTTGATTTAACCCTACAACCAAAGCATAGAAGCTGTGTAGCACATCAGCATAGTAGGACGTAAAAAAACACACACACACACACACACACACACACTACTCTACTCTCCCTGCTGCCCACCCAGGGGCAAGTGGACACCATTAAGAAGTCTTCTCAGAGAGAAGAGAGAGGAGGGAGGGAAGAGAGCAAACGTTGTCCTTACATAGACTGGGAGGCTGGAAAAGAAAAAAAACCCAGCGCACTCGTGTTACTTCTATAACTACAGTGTGTGTGTTTGTGTGTGTAGACCAAGCTGCATGCTTATATGAGGCAAGAAGCCCACAATGAAAAGAAGTGTGTGTATTTCAGTTTTTTCCCCCAACAGTGCTTTCAGCACCACAATTAACACCTAACATTGTCCAACTGTGGGAATACATATGTGTGTGTGTGTGAGTGAGAGAGAGAGAGCGAAAGCGAGAGAGTAAGAGATGTGCTGCCAGAAGCGCAGATGCTTTTCCTCTTTGTACTCTCCATGCATGCTGACACTTATGGGAAGAGCCTTGACACCGTTTTTCCACTGTTCACACACACGTGCTGACATGTGCCAGCGCACACACAGATACACACAAAGGCATGCTGACATTTCAGAAGGGAAGAGCCTTGACCGAAAGCTGGAAATGCTGGGAATGTGTTCAGCACCATGGAGAGCGCTTCGGTCAGCCCTTAAAACACACACTCTGAAGGATGTGGCTCACTTTGTTTCTTTACACTGTGTGAAGGCTTGACTGTAGCTACTCTGCAACTGCAAATGCTTTACTCAGGTTCTGTTCTGGCTGTGAATTCTACTCTTTCTTACTGCAGGGCGGTCAGCGAGTTGCTGAATTAGCTTTTCATAGGATGAGTCAGAAATGAAAAGTTTCAACAGATCAGAGTTTGTGTGTGAAATCAGGCTCTCTGTTCTCCTGACTGTCTCTCTTAATATCTTCCTGTCATTCCCAGACAGCAACTGAAGCACAGAGGGAGTCGCAGAGAGCCTTTCCATGTCTTCCTCTCGCTTTTCTCTCCTGCCTGTCACTGTGAAGCGAGCTGTCTTTTCTAGTAGCCACATCAAGTGGACACCCTGCTCTGCTCATTAGGAGCATTAAGTTTTTGTGAGCCTGTTAGAGAGAGAGAGGGGGGGGGGATCGGGTGTGTTTGTGTTGCCCCCCTTCCCCTCTTACCTCCACACTTGTCCCAGCTGGAGGATGTGTATGGTGGCCTGCCACAGCCAGATAGTGGCCAGCTGCAGGCGGTCCCTTCCAGGATACAGGCACCCCAGAACCACCGTGCCCCGCTTGGTCAGCCCCTCGACCTCCCCGAGGCCCCCGCCGGTGTAGTCCTGCACGAACCATCGGAAACTCAGAATCTGGACCAGTACCGAGGGCACCAGTACGAAGAAAAGAGTGAGGCCGAACCAGAGATAGTCCTGCCTCTGGTAGTAGTCCATCGCCAGGCACAGGTCCGTGCCGACGTCCCAGAAGAAGACAAGGAGGGCAAGGATGATCCAGAGGCAGTCCAGCCACAGCTGCTCCCGGGGCGGGCAGTGAGTCTCCCGGATGCCGACCCCTCCGGCAGGCGGACTCCCGCCGAGCAGAGAGCCGAGGCAAGCTGAGCGGCAGCCCCAGTAGCAAGCGGAAGAGCGGCAGCACTGACAGATGTGGATCGCCGCGGAGTCCAGAGGCTCCTCGGCGTCAACATCATAGAGCTGGGCGAAACCCCCGCCGCCGCCGCACCCGACCCCGGCTTTGCCGCCGTCGGACTGTGCGGCCATGTTCGCCTTCCCGCTCCTGCCCTCCTGCGAGACGCACGACAAACGCACCGTTTTGCTTTCTTGTGGGGCGCGGACACCACGTCACTTCCCAGATACCTGCTGTCCCCTACCCTCTCGCTCCGCGGCGACTGCTGTGACTCTTTCCCGCCCTGGGCGCGAGGAGCCATCAGAGCCGGCGGCCGCGCGACGGCGGCTCCTCTTCTTTCTCTACCGGCCGACACACACCCGCCGGGGGCTCGCGGTCAGCAGCAGCAGCGGAATCTGTTACCGTTCTAGTCCGGCAGCCCCGCATCCTCCCCGTCCTGCGCGCGCGGTCATCTAGGGCAATGAGAGGCTATGACGTAATGCATCTCCCGCTGTTCTTAAGATGTGTGAGTGAGTGACTGTGTGTGTGTGTGTGTGTGTGTAGGCGCTAAACGGACAGCAGGCTATTCTCTTTAACCGCGGCTCTGCTAATGTAAACCTTCCTGTTCAGTCAACTGGAGGCCCTCCTGCTCCTCCTGCCCCCCGCACTCAGGTTGCAGGTGCCCGGCGTCCGCTGCCACCCATGTCCGCTCCGTTCCTTTCCGCAGCTCCAGCCCTCTGCAGCTCCTGCTTCCCCTCTCCTCACGTTCTCTTACACTTTCACTCCGCCCTCTACCGGATAACAACTTACAAACCCCCCGATCCACATCCGCACACACACTCGAGCGAGGGCGCGCACACGGACTATGATCGTGCACTGTACACTGGAACATATGAACTGTTTTTCCAAGTAGTTTTTCATTGGGAAGAAAAAATTCCCAGCAACTGACGCTCAATCAATCAATACCCCCCCTCCCACACACACACACACACACACTCCCTCACACTCTCCACGAATCTCTCCATCATCTCCTCCAGTGGGCTGAGCGCCCAGTGGCTGTGCCAGCCTAATCAGCCCTAACATATGTGCGTTTGAGAGATCCCTGCTAGGCAAACATGGTGCCAGAGAGGGAAGGATTTAGGAACACGAGGAAATAGATGGACACTGTATATGTATGCGCGGAGACGGGG